TATTATATTATATTATATTATATTATATTATATTATATTTTCCTAATAATTAGATTTCATCAATTTTCAAGTTAAAAAAGAATGAATAAAATATCATACCGTTATTTATAAGTTTAAAAAATGGCGAAGAGTTTGAGCTATCTAAAAGATAGTATTTCCGATGCTAAAATTAAACCTTTTGTTCATTGTTTTAAATTAAAATTAAGTAAATGGAAATTTACAATTTAAAAATAAAAAATGGAATATGCTACTTTTTAAAAATATTTCACAGATTGTGAACAAACCAAATATGCCACTCTGTTCAAACTCTTCCCCGATAGCTGAAATATCAATGATGAGAATTGGCAAATAGTGAAAGAGAGAGAGAGAGAGAGAAAATGGGAGAGTGAGAAGAGAGAAGAAAATGAAACATTGAAATTTCATATTTTTGGAATTGTTCGATGGCGAAATGTTCGAAATATTTGTAAGCAACGAATTTTTCAAATTAACTCTTTCCGAAATTAAAAAAAGATAATTGTTAAAAATGTTTTTTTAAACCAAAACTAATTTGCAAATTTAAAGAAATTTCTTTTTTTAAATTCCTTATATGATGAAAATAAGGCTGGCATGAATTCTTCAACGATTTTAATGAAAGATGAAAACATGAAAATTAAAAGAAAAAACGTATGAATTACGTGAAATCACGTATGCACGTATGTATCGTATAAATTNTTAAATTCCATATATGATGAAAATAAGGCTGGCATGAATTCTTCAACGATTTTAATGAAAGATGAAAACATGAAAATTAAAAGAAAAAACGTATGAATTACGTGAAATCACGTATGCACGTATGTATCGTATAAATTTTTTTTTGCAAAAGATTATTTAATAATTTTAAAAACATACCATTTGGATAATTCTTGTTTAATTGAATTTTAACATCAAAAAGATTGGAAGCCAAATTTAGTTGCTCTTCCAGTGTTCCCAATGGCATATGTAAACCATCGAAACTTATATCATTATCATTATTGATAAGAATATCTCTATATTCAGATGTTATTTCAGTTTTATTCGACTGAAGTAAGCAATGAGCATCATAGCACGAATTTCTACTGCAACTATTACAGCAATCAGCATAATGTTGTAAGTCTTCCGAAGGAAGTAATGAAAAGAGACAGTCGTCCTTGATAAAATCATTTCTATTAATTTCAAACCAATCTTCCTCTTCCATTTTTAATATCTGCAAAATGAAGGGAAATTTATTTTGTTTCTACCGAAACAAATATAAAGTCTAATTATATATCTATATATATATAGTGATTGATATAATATATAGCATCGTCAGCAGCAATAATCAAATATGAATTATACATATTTTGGATTATTTTCAAAATAAAGGATGAACCATAGCTTCCTTCCGTAATTGCTATATAAAGTGATAATAATTACTATATATATATATATATATAGTGATTGATATAATATATAACATCGTCACTTGCTAATAGTCGTACTATATATATATATATATATATATATGAATTGTGCATATTTTGGACATTATAATACCCACGTAAATAATAAATCAAACGACTATTAGCAACATGATTTTTAAAGTGAAGGATGAACCATAGCTTTCTTCCGCAATTGCTATATCAACAAAGTGATAATAATTAATTTAAATAATCAGATAAATTTGATATTAGTCCACAAAATAATAACCGGTTTAGATGGTAATATAGCAGAAGTTTGTAATATTATTTCTTTATCATTTTCTATTTACAAATATATTTGTAAAATGTAATCGATAGTTATTTTAATTGGCGATACATCAAAGTTATTGGCGATACATGAAAGACTAACATGATTAATGCGTGAAATGTTTTCAAGGAATTTGAAAGATTTATTACTGCTTGATAATGATTGATAATTCATAAATATATCACGGATAAGTTAGTTTGGATAAACAAGTTGAAGGAGAAATCTTTTGGCAACTTTTACATACCTCCTATAATTCACATTGAAAGTTTGGCTAATTTTTCCCTACCTTTTCGTTTTATTGAATTAATCAATTTGGAATGTTTGTTAGATATTCTCATAAAGTTGTTTTACCTGAAAATCGATTTCCAATAAATTGTAACTTATTTCTTCAAATATCGATATTGCAACCCAAAATAATATAATTAAGTAATCAATGCATTATTATATTGTTATTGTCTATGTTACAGAAATTGTATTTTTTTAAGCCAAAAGATAGGATATGTTTTGTATATTTTCTTGTTATACGTCTTCTATATCGGTAATTTATATCCAACAACATCAATGTTTACATCATTACTTTTATTATTCAAATAACCAGGTGATTTCTTTGTTCACTATCAGTTTCATATCTCAAATGATCCTCATGACTTTTATTTTGCATCATCAGTTTTATATACGAAATGATCAGCTGTCTATTTATTAAAAACAATCCTTACCGAACACCGCCCCATCTAAAAGGAGCATATTCCAGTGTAACTTATTGTTCCTAAACAAAGCGATCTGACCATCTACCACTCCTAAGAATCACAGCTGCAATGAATAGTCTCAAATTATTCTTCCGGATCAACGGTAAAGAAGAATGAGTGAGCGAGAATGATCATTCTATTCTTGATAATTCCTGATAATTGTATTAAAACATCAAGAAGGAATAAAATTCTTCACTGATTATTAAATCTTCACTACAATCCGATTATGCCGCATAAAAGGAATCTCATTAAAAGAAATTATAACAATTAGTATTTGAATTAATTAGTATGATTTTAGTTTCTTTAAATAACTGTCCAAAATAACAAAAAATTTGTAAAATTTTGTATTTTGCATAAAAATTAACATTATTATAATTATTATTTATAGAATATAAATTAGGAAATAATGAAAGAAAAGAAAATCAGAAGGTTTTTTTTTTTTTAAGAAAATTTATTCTTTTGTCTTTATTAGGAAATTATTTATTGTAATTATTTTATTCTCAAATGTTACAAATTATTCGAAAAATATTATTAGTTGAAAGATTGGCTATTCGATCAATCATTGTTGAAATATTTTGACACATTTAAATTTTGTTTATCATAAAATTAATTTTGCTGACGATATATGAAATAATTAAAAATGAATATAATATAAATAATTTGTCAAATAAATATATATACAATTAATTTGCATGAAATATTTTATTAATTTAATTTTTCTAAATAAAACAAAAGGAATTATTATTTTATTGCTGTTTGTTAATTAATTAATTCATAATACAAAAAAGATTGGTTATTTTTTCAAAGTGTAGCATATAAAAATATAACATCGATATAATACATAAGTCTTCTATACTATAAATTTACTTAATCATATTTTGCATACAATAAATGTACTTAATCATATACTTAACCATTTTCATCTGATGTAAGCAATGATCGTTTTTGTAGGAAAAAGAAATGGACCAAAAAGGAATTTTCGCAATTTATATATCATACGTATAACTGTATCATCATTTATCGATCATGTGGGGGATATGTCGGAAATAGTCGAAATAGAAAAAACTATGTTTGAAAATAGTTGCAGAATAAGGGAATTCAATTAACAACTCCTATTAATCAATTGATCACTTGCAGTTCACGTTGAACTAAAATATGAAATTAATTGAAAAAAAAATCAAGTATAATATCAAATGAGGTATAATGAAATTCAAGGGAATCCAACGTTATATCCTCACCGAGGATTCTCATGAATACTGAGAAAATCCAACGTTATATCCTCATGAGAAATCCAAGAGAATCCAACGTTATGTACTCATCGAGGATTCTCATGAATACTGAGGATTCTGGATTCTCTTAAATACCGAGGATTCTCTTATGATTACTGTTAATGCCATTCAAATAAAACGTGAATCGTCTGATAAACAAAGCAAAAATAAGCAACTATTATTGTTTCATTGTTATTTATCACATTCATTCCTGATACATTGTTTGATATTATCTATTGAATTAATGTAATATCAAAAATTTTCCATTAATTTAAATTTCGAGACTTATAAAGTTATTCATTGATAGAGTGTAAAATTTGAATGAAAGAAAATCTTAACTTTTCTTTCAATAAATAGCATATCAAAATACAATAAATTATTCATTTTTAATTAGATGTTTGAAAACAAAACAGTAAATGATAATATTACCAAATAAATTAGTATTTAGGATGCGATATATTCAACAATATTAGAAGCGAAGCTCTAGTTAAGGTATCGAACTTGATTAAGTGATTTATAATATAGGACAAAATTTAGCGAAAAGATTATGCTATAGAAATGGATTGAGAAAAAGAGTAAACTGAATCAATGAGAAATATTTAGTACTTCTATTAAACATATCAGTGTCATTAGTATTGAAGAGAAATGGTGCGGTAATTTTCGACTGAAATTCAATTGTATATTCAATAATTTCTAATATACAAATTCAGTAATTTTTGACTAGAAATAATATCGCACTGAAAAATGCGAAAAATTTGACGATGAAATACTTCAACAGTGAAAAGTGCAAATCAATGGAACAAATGAATATTATAAATGTTAAGGAACAATAGGGAAATGGCCCGTAAGTTAGATAGTTGATGTATGGAACTGATAAGGATTAAAATAAGGTCATTTCAGGCCGTCTTATTCATTCCTTTTAACATCTTTCAAATTATAACAATCAAAACATTTAAACAAAGGTCGCGTTGCTTTCTTAACAATTAATACTAATATTAATATTAATCATAATAACGGTGGCAGTAATATTTGATGATGATAATGATAAAAGTATAACGATGTAATAATTAATAATAATAATAATAATAATAATAATAATAATAATAATAATAATAATAATAATAATAATGGTAAATAAAGCAACTATATGTATGTTTACCTGTTATTTACTATTACATATTTATAAACAAATTGGGTTGAATTGTCAGTTATTATTTATAATTTCATTATATCGCAACAACACTTTCAATTGAATTATTTCAACAAGTTAATTCTAACATTTTCCCCTTTTTTCACTTATTTTCATATTATTTTATTCATTATTACAACTCAAAGAATTATTAATGAATTCTCTAAAATATTTCACTTAAATAGTCCAACATTAATTGAATCGTTACGATTATTCAACACACAATATTTGTTGGCCAATACGTTGCACTTCAATAACGAATTACGAATTCTGAAGAAATTGATAAATGCACGCAAATGAATACAATTGGAAATTTTAAGAGAAGTGTTAATTAAGTACATATTTGTAAATATGTCACCGGACTGTAAAAGTATGTTACCTGGCCAGTAAATATAGATGTCTACTTATTTGAAAGTATATTTGTAAATATGTCATCGGACTGTAAAAGTATGTTACCTGGCCAGTAAATATAGATGTCTACTTATTTGAAAGTATATTTGTAAATATGTCATCGGACTGTAAAAGTATATTACCTGGCCAGTAAATATAGATGTCTACTTATTTGAAAGTATATTTGTAAATATGTCATCGGACTGTAAAAGTATGTTACCTGGCTAGTAAATATAGATGTCTACTTGTTTAAAAGTTATTTGATCAATGAGTACATAAGCATGATGTCCATTTCAAGGCATGACAATGCGCGTAAGACATAATTATGAATATAAATATTCAACCATGAATTTTTATTTCTTCGACAGGTTGACAACAAAAGCGAAAAATATACAAGAATTATTTATGGAAAACAATTATAATTTTAATCTGCCAAATTTCAAATATGTTATTGTATGTTGTCTTATGTTTCGCAAAATTATACGTAAATTTTATTCTGCAAAATATGCATAAATTTTACTCTGCAAAATATGCATAATAATAACAGTGGCAAAAATAATGATAATGATAATGATTAATAAGTTATCGGAATTAGTATTGAAGAATTTTCGTTCAATTGCAGGAAAATATAAAACTATAAGATTTTATTGGCTAAGTTCTTGAAGGCACCTACCTCAACAATATTTTAATTCCTTCTTGGAATTAAGCCAAAGTTTGATATTTTCTGACTAATTTACCTATTCAAAACCCTATTTTAAGGTTTAAATTATTATTTAAATCAACTATTATAGGCTTTTGCCAAATTTCACTGGTCATTTTGAGTTGAAGAGTATAATTAAAGAAAAAGAGGTAAAATTGGTCATTTTAAATATTTTTC